GCAAACTCAGTGCCATATCTGGGCCGGATATGGCCAATCCTTACTTTCCCGCATTCACAGAGTTCAAGTGAGTACACGCAGCTTTCTAAGCGGTGAATTATTGTCCACTTCAGAACTACATTTTAATAGACGAAACGTCCTAAGCCTATCGTTACTCCGTCGTTATATCCATGGAAAATGTTCTGACTAGCTGCACTCCCGTGTTACACCTGTTCAGTCCATCACATTTAAGGACACAGGGACAAACCATCCCTATTCCAGTGGTATCACAAGAGTGTCCAATGACAGCCTTTTTTTTTCCCAGGAGCTGATACTTTATGGAAAAGACTTCTGAGAGGATGCTTCCTGGAACACTACAATCTTAAACTCTTCATATCAAGGATCAGCCGTTATCTGTTCTCGTAATCTGCACTTACTTCTCGTTTTGTCCATACAATAACCCGATTTATTAACGCTCTATCTTAAGTTGCTCTTGGGCCTTGTATTATATGAACAGTTATTAAAAACATTTATCTATCGATCTTGCATTCTTTTTCGACTGTTTATACACCGAGTGTAACAGCAAAATTGTGCAAATCGTGTAACAGCAAAATTGTCTAATTGTCAGATCAATATTTGAAACACTGTATCTTAGAAATGATGATGCCTCTTGCTCCTGTGACCTCCTGTTTTCCTCTCTACTCTTTAAAATTTATTTACCGTTCCCTTGATGGTTCTTGAATGGACTTTGAAAATGTAAGCCAGAGTATGAATGTTGGTACCATTACTGAAGGCGACAATGATCTTTTTTTCCTTTCACCATTGCTCAGTTGCGAAGACATATTAGGGCTAAGACTAAACGATTTTGAAATGTTTTCTTTCTAGCTGAATAACTCAAAGTGTTTATCAGTGATTCTTCCAACAAATGGTGTCAAGATGTCTAAACATCTTATCTGAAAACGGGGAAAAAGAAACTAAATTTGTTTAGGGTTAATTTTTTTTTTTTTTTTTTTAGATATTAAAATTTTAGTGGGATGGAAAATACCCATGCTGTTACACGATTTTGAAAATTTTACTGTTAAACCATGTATATTTATGTCATATATTTTTATATATATATATATATATATATATATATATATATATATAATATAATGAAAAATATATAGAAAATAGGGAAGGAACTGGTTAGGTAAATAATCCAAAGTCCCTTAGTATTTTAGTTATTATTTTTTAAAAATAGTGCTCGATACAAAAAGTAGAGCATAAATATAATTATTTATTTAAAAATATGATTCCAAAGCGAATTTTTTTTGGGAACCAAAAATTTCGCTTGAAGATGAAACAGAGCTTATTTTAACTCAATTTAATTTAAATAATTTAAATAATTATATTGAAGTTTTCGGCTCTTGTTTTGAAACATGGGACTTCTTATGTCGCGATTTGGAATCATATTTTTAAATAAATAATATATATATATATATATATATATATATATATATATATATATATATATATATATATATATATATCATATATATCAAGTATAGGATTGGTGTATACGGTATAAATTCCAATAACCAATAAATACTATTCGTAAAAAAGTGTTCAATTTCAGAGTAGAGCAAATATAATTATTTATTCGAAAATTATAACATAAATATGTTATAAAATCACTACAAAAATAGCCATTTTGTTTCAACACTTCTGGTGTCTTATGAAGTGATGATGTTGAATGTAGAATAAGGGGTTTTAAAAGGTTCAACTCAATCAAACACCCCTCGCTAAGGGGAAACGCTGTTACATAAACTGGAATGACCAATCAAAATACAAGTATACAAGAATTCAAAAAACTTGACAACGAACTAAAATTATAATAATTTTGTGGTTAGACAAAAAATAATTTATTCTAACCAATAAATATTAAATTATGCGATAAAACTTGAAATTAAAAATTAAAAATAACCCATTTTAAAGTTTACATTTAATCTATATTAATTTATAAATTATAAAATTACTGAGGAAAAAGGGAAAAATACATATTCTATTCATTTAGTTTTTATTGAAATTAAGTTGGAATAAACGTTAAGATGTAAAGTTGCTCCGAACTTCATGAAAACATAAATACATTTGATGGATAAACAGAAGCAGGGGAGGATGCCATCTTGCAAAAGACAATACATACACAATCAGATTATGATACATAAACACGCAGACGTATTTAGATATATACACACACAAAAAAGCGACGAGACAGGAAATACCTCCGCGACCCTAAAAAAAAAAACACATACATACACAATGAAAGGTACACACAAGTGACCGTACACAGACACCGATAAAGACATGTACATGCACACACATACATTGACAAAGACACTCCGATACACCAACCAAGAAATATTCAAGTTTGAAAGTGTCATTGAACGAATTCTAGCCCTAACCACTTATTAAAATATAACTTATACGGGCAAATATACATATATAGGTCAGCTGAAAGATTCGTAGGCTGACCAATATACTCTCATGTAATGTGACCAAATAAATTTTATTTTTCAACATAGTCAGCCTTACTGCCCACAGATCCATTGGTGTTGCAGCCTTTGTATTCCATTGGTTGAGAAGTTTTCATCTTCTTGGTAAAAAAAAATCATCAGCAAGCAGATATAATGTAATTATAATTGGTTTACAGCCAAATGTTTACAGCAAAATATATATATATATGTATATATATATATATATATCGTCGGCGGGATATATGGAGAACTAGGGCTACCAAGACGTCTAGTTCTCCCTCTCGGCCTTGCTAGTCCAAAGGAAAGGATAAGCCAATACCGTTTGGTACCAACGTAGCTGTAGGAGTTGCCAGAAGGTAGCACAAAGTGCTGTCCATCCTACTTCGGGGATCCACTCCAGGTTTGAATTCAGAGTTGTCATTCTCCTAGACCTGTTGCCATCCAAGTTGCTATTTACCCATAGCTGGAGGGAGAAGAAAAGGATTCACACCTTTCCTAAGGGTATTAGCACGTAAGGGAATATAATGAATTCGACTGGAATTCGAACTCGGATCTCCGATTCCGATACCCATTACTCCACCAGGCCTCCTATCTGATATTGGAGAAGGCCTTAAATCTTCGATTAATGTCAACTGGCGCTACAGAATCAAAAAGAAAGAACTGTACCAGATATCAGAAATCACGTCACTTGAGGTGTTTCAACAACAGCAATAGCTAAAATGGATATGACATATGGTTCAAAGAGAAGATGATGACATAAGATGGCGGCGTTCCACACTACATCAGATAAAAAGTTAGGAAGGAAAACTACATCAATACTGAAAAGAATGATAATAGTGGTTCTGAGTAATCTATTTTCCTGAAAAACAACGTTAAGTGAAAGATTGTATACATGTCAACCAGAAACATCAATGGCTGCTGGGTCAATGAATGCCATATGTTTCCTTATAAGGAAACCGTTATATTAACGTTAATATAACCATTGATTAGGATTGACATTTACTTTCTATCTTCATTTTTTATCTATCAAACTACCAATACCTATTCAGATAATTTATCTCTCTTCCAAACATTTCTTTCTATGTTTCTTTCTTTTTCATCTATCTATCTATCTCAGTCAGTACATGTCTGTCTATCTATCTATCTATCTATCTATCTATCTATCTATCTATCTATCTAAGTCTGTTCAGATCTATCTATATATCTATCTCTAAGTAAGTTTTTTCAGATCTCTCTATCTCTCTGTTTATCTATCTATCTCAATCTGTTCATATTTGCCTATATGTCTATCTCAGTCTGTTCAGATCTATCTCTCTATCTATCTATCTATCTATCTATCTATCTATCTATCTATCTATCTATCTATCTATCTCAGACAATACATATCTATCTATCTATCTATCTATCTATCTATCTAAATCTGTTTAGATCCATCTATATATCTAATTCTAAGTAAGTCTGTTCAGATCTATCTATCTATCTATCTATCTATCTATCTATCTATCGGAGTTTGTTCATTATCTATCTGTGGCAGTCTGTTCATATCTATCTATCTATCTATCTATCTATCTATCTATCTATCTATCTATCTATCTATCAACATATCTATCTATCGGAGTTTGTTCATTATCTATCTGTGGCAGTCTGTTCATATCTATCTATCTATCTATCTATCTCAGAATGTTCTATCTATCTATCTATCTATCTATCTATTTCGCATCCTGGGTATGACGATAAACTACATCCGCGTCCAGTTTAAGACGATAAAGTACTTTCAACAGCAAGGCCTCTGATCAGGAGGCTTTGAGAAGCGTAGAACCTCCTCGTAATTGCTGGTGTTCCCAGTTCCCCCCTTACCAGGGTGGTAGCATCTGTTAGGGTCCTAGCTATGGGCAACTAGTTAACAAAATAAACCAAACCAAACACTATATTTCACTTGGTGCGTTTCTTTCTATTATTCTATAACTCAGTTTTCATATTTATTGATACCTATCAGACTATCGATCTGTTTTAGTTTTCTTCCTCTTCGTCGACATCTACCTTTTTATGTCTCTCTCCTCCCTTTCTAACTCTCACTCTCTATCTCTCTCTCTCTGTCTGTCTGTCTGTCGGCCTGTTGTCTGTCTCTCTCTTATTCTCTCTCTCTCTCTCTCTCTCTCTCTCTCTATATATATATATATATATATATATATATATATATATGTGTGTGTGTGTGTGGTTATTCACATCAGTGTGTCTATATATTTCTGTACATACGTATCTATAAATCTATCTGATTCCCTAAATATCTATCTATCTATATATATATATATATATAGATATATATATATATATATAGATAATATTAGTGGAAAATATACATACATATGAAAATATATCTAAAAAATTCCCATACATGTATATTTTCAGAAAAAAAATTTTCCAAGAGGAAGGATCCAGGTAGAACTCAATATCTAAGACAAAGAAAGGATATAATAAAAAGGCTTAAACACTAATATTCCATGGTCATAATTTATTCCATTGGAATCATAAATACGATCCAAATCATCAGATCTACAAATTCAAAATGAAAACAGAAAAAACAACTCCGGAAATCAAAACAGAATTTAGAGAAAGTGTAATTATGAGGATGAGTGACAGAGAGAATTTTTGGAGATGTGGGTGGGGTGGATTTAAAAAGAGGAGAAAAAAAGTCGACGGATGTCTAATACATAAAGATACATTTTGTGGTGACATATACACACCACAGACAATTCGGATAGGAAGGGGAAAAAAAAAAGGGGGAAGGGGTGGGGGAGAGTGATGGGACGAAGGAAAATAAAATTGTGTTTACTTAAAATTTAAAATCAAATATAAATATATGAAGATGAATATAACGATTGTCTCATTTGTTAAGGACCAAATATTTCTATGTTCAAAAAACAAATTAGTTAGATATGAACAGAATTTATATATATATATATATATATATATATATATATATATATATATATATATAATTCTGTTCATATCTATTTTATCTAGCTAATTCTGTTTATATCTATGCAAATTTCTAATTATGTTCATAACTATCTAATTCTGTTCATTTATATATATATATATATATATATATATATATATATATTACACACAATTAAATATGCATGTGTGACTCAGGTATTGTGGGAAGTGGTGATCAATAAAATCTTGGCTCGTCAATCTGCCCAGCAATATGATATACTCAAGATGATCTGAAACCAAAGTTTCATCATCATATCCACTTCAAAGCTGCCTATAATGTTGCTGACCTTACCGCGAAAATTATCGGTGTGCAAACTCAATATATGCAGTAGGGCCAAAAGAATCTCCGATTATATATATATATATATATGTTCGTTTTTATACAGGTAAACGAGGTCTATTTACGAAGTAATACTTTTCAGTATAGGAGTCAGAGCTTTTATACATACAGACATGGATACAGCAATAAAACACTCCCTGGTAATCTGTCTGTTTCTCGCTTCAATAATATATATGTATATATGCACGCTTTTATGTACCAGAACAATGTTAAGAAAATTAATGACAAAAGTTAAAACAATAATATATATATATCTATGTGTGATTAATTATTGTATGTAAATCATATGCTGCCTAATGTTTTATGTTTATTAAAAAACTATCGATCCGCAGTACATAAAAATTCCTATAAAAAAAATTACTATTATGACACTACACTATATTATTGAACTATATACTTAGTTCATGACATAAAAACTGAATACACTTGTAAAAATAGAATGGATGGATTTAACACATCACAAGAAATATTTAAATAAAATTCTCACTTAAAATTTTGAAAACTTAGCGTTGCGTCCTTGCACGTTCGAGATCTTACACAACCGTCAATAATAGCAGATATTCAAAAACATCTTTCGGTCGACATACAGGTATATCGTCTCAAGTTTTTTGATTTTATAAGAAAAAAACACATGCCTGATGATGGATGGTAGACCGTCCGTAAGTACTAGCATTTTAACATCAAATAAACTGAAAACTACAGACAACAAGTTTTTCTTCAAGGATCAAAACTCGCACTATGGATGAACAGGATTTTAATGCATATATTATGTTTTCTAGCGATGGATGTCGCCAATAATCGCATTGATACTTATTAATTCTATGTATGATTAATTTTGTATATATATATATATATATATATATATATATATATATATATATATATATATATGTGTGTGTGGGCGTGTGTGTGTGTATTTAGGCAGCAAACTTTCTTTAATGTAAATGTCATTGAATACGACAGACAAGGTGCTTTTATATAGTTTTTTATACAATTTCTCATGCGATCTAATAATTTTTTTTTATTTACGGATGATAAATTATATAAAAACTGTCCAAATGTTCTTTTTATCTTTCGGCTATACATTTAGCCATTTTCAAGGATTATATTTTAACTGTTAAATAAGAAATAGTTTGTTGTATGTATGTTTTATAAAATGTTTTCATTTTTTAAAACGCTGTCAAGATATTGTTTCCATATTCAAAGTTATTATTACGTGTTTTTTTTTTTATTAATAGGACTTACATTATTTTTAGCCTTTATTTGCATGTAGATGATACTATTATATTAGTGTTGTCAACAAGTATGTTAGGAATAGGGTCCGGTAGGTCTCCATGAATATTTAGATGAGATCTAATTGAGCTAAGGTCAGAAAGGTGTAGAGTGAGTCTGCGTGTCAAACATGTTGTAGTGTGGCCTATAAAAATTATTTACGAATTTTGATTGATCAGGTATAGAATTCCTTAATGGGCATTCGAATTCGTAAATAATATTTTCCCTATTTAATTTTGTTCTAGGAGGTGAATTATTAATTTTAACTATAAGGTTAGAGTTTTTAAATGTTTTGTAATAAATAATTAATCTATTTTTTTGCTATTGTCAACTGGTGTTATGCATTTATATATATATATATATATATATATATATATATATGTCGTAGAGTCATTTTTGACGTACATTGACAGACCATGTCGAAAGTAGTCGGGATCATCGAATCAACGCGAACGATTCTTTCCTTAGCCAAATAGTATGTGTTTCCCTAGGGCTACATACAGTTTTGAATTCAGAGTTTTCCTTCTCTAAGAACTGGTTGCCATCCAAGTTTATAGAACCCAATCTGTTAATGAGTCGACTGTAGTTGGAATCATCGAGTTAATGCGAATGATCCTTTCATTAGTTTCATATTATGTGCCTCGCCAGGTGCACATACATTTTTCAAGTCAGACACTCCAGTTTCTCTTAGGCTGGTTCCCACCCAGTCTATTCTACTATCTTCCCATAGCTGGGGTAGAGAAGAAAAGGATTCATACAATTCTACTTATTTTTAATAGGATCCCCCCGTAATGAAGGAGAATTTTCTTAGTATATTTAATTCCCAGTACTTTCGACATTAGTACAATGTTTTCTGCAGGGCCTTGTTTTTCTAAGACAAAATATTTTCTTTTTTACATTTGAAGTGAGAAACGCTTATGTACTATACAATTTTAAATTTTATTATGTAGGCACACGTGCTAACGTGAAGGGAGGAAGCTAATTTATTGTAAAGTCTAAATATTTTCAAAAAAGAAAAAAACTATTAAAACTATTTTAAACTATCTACTGCAAATATTTTTAAATATTTGTGCAGTATTCTAAATTAATTTTATTAAGGGTTGTTTTCAATTTTTCAATACAGATATACATCAACATGGTAAATTTCTTCTAAAATAAGTAGACAAAATTTCTCTAAATTATTTAATGAGACATATATACATATATATATGTGTGTGTGTAGGTATGTATGCATAAATACGTCTAGCCACACTGATGTGCTGTGATACAGCGAAACAGTCTATCTTTGGATGGCAATATATGATTCTGAAATATTTCATTTCAGCCCTCTGGGTAGAAAGTGTGAGTTTGTAAACAGTAACTATTACGGCTAATAATGCAAGACTCTTCGGTAAAGCGAATCGAGTTCTCTCAGTCACTGTGTGGTTATCTAAAAATAAATACGCTTAAATTCACCTTCATCCCTGACGTTCCTCAGAGGCTTAGGAATAGAATCTCCGAATTCAGCTGGGTTTCGATCCTAGCTAGAGGCAACCGGACCTCTAGGCACACTGATGAGCAGGGATACAGTGAAACAGTTTGTCTGTGGATGACAATATATATATATATATATATATATATATATATATATATATATATATATATATATATATTGTATTTAGGCAGCAGTCCTTCTTTCATGCACATTTCATTGAAAACATTAGGCAATGTACTTCGATTTAGCTTTTTACACAATTTCTGTTATGATCTAATCATTTTGTCTTTCCAGATGATAAATTGTATAAAAACTGACCGAATCTTCTATATTTCCGAACGCGCTTTTGTCTATAAATTTAGCCATTTTCAAGGATGAAATATTTTAACTGTTAAATAAGAAATAGTTTGTTGCATCTATGTATTTATATAATGTTTTCATTTTTTTCGACATATGAATATGTATATATATATGCACTATAGAAGTGTTTAAATATATCCAATAATCAGCTATTATAACTGGGGAGACACATCTACCGTAGTTGACCGCTTTATGCCTGAATAATCTGCAGAGAGAGCTTCCCAAATAACCTGGTGCGTCTTATACGCCGGAAAATCCTTTACCAAAATTATAAATTCGAGTTATGAGGTTGGTGCAAAAATAATGACGTAATAATGTCGTTTTTGACGTTAAAAATACGTAAAAAAACGACATTATTACGTCATTATTTTTGCACCAACCGAATAATTTAAAGTTTTCATTCTGCTCAAATAAAATTGATCAGCCTCATGATTTTAAGCGTCGAGCAACATAAAAAGTATTGAAATAAAACAAAAAAATATCCTTATGGTAATAATTGTAAACAATTCTTTCGTCTACAGATTAATATAGGATTAACCCGCTAATGCCCAGGTTGCTTCCTTGATTTTAATTGGCCCGCTTATAATTCTATAGCATTTCAAAGGCAAGGACGTCAAATGGTCGCCGATGCTGACGTCGTATCAGTTTATCAACCGAAATAGCCGCCATTTTGGTTTAATTTTGATGAAAATAATCACTTTGATATTTGCAACGCCCTATGCTGTTTGTCTGTTTTTAATGCCTAAAGATAACTGCTCTAAAAATTTCTCATTCGTCGCCTTATAATTAGCAAGCAATCTTTATGAATTTAGATAACAGTTTCATTTCGCCTTTCAGGCCTGTTGGCGGCCGAATTTGATTTTGTTTTAATCATGTTCACGGTATGATAATCAGACATCTAGGGCGTTCCAAAAACGACAATTAATACAAACACAGATTCGTTCGTTTTCGTAAATGCGTTTACAGAAAAGGATGTTATCCATTCAAATGTAAAGATGGAACATAAAATGAAATTAAGAAAAAAATATTTATTGATTGATCATATCTGAAACAACCAAGTTAAATTTTACAGTAAGATTCACCCTGTACAAAACACTGGAGCCATTTGAGGTAAAGGGTTAAGACTTAGTTTATATGGGATATGTCCCGGAAAGGGATATATTTGAACGAAGTAGGTAAGTGGTTTTGGCTACTATAACCAAGTAGAATACGGTAGCAGTAATCGACTGGTACGCGTCGTAGTCGCAGGTAAGAAGTGTAGATCAATGGCGTAGTCCAATGGGCGTCGTTATAGACTTAGCTCTCAGACTAAGGCTTTCTTGACTCTACTACACGTCAATCATATTCCAGTGAGGGGGAACACAGATGTGCGCATATTCCATTATATCAATATGGATCGGAAAGGAAGTTAGCGGTTGACTTTATACTTGAACACGTTAAGATTCTAGTAAACAGGGAAACATCCTCCTGTGTATCCGTTCCACTGGACAGTGGTTCATGGAAGAAGCTGTTTGAGTGGAACTTACTTCTCACCGATTAAATGCGGATGGAATGTAGGTGGCTTGCTACTACGTAAGTGGCATGGCTGGTCCTAGCCGTGAAGGTTAAGA